AAGCCCAATATATATCACGATTTAGGACGCAAAGTCATTTTGAAGGAAAGAGAAAATTGTAAGAACTCATCACGCATATTATATATTAATTTATCATGAAAAACAACTTCTCAAAGGTATAATTACATTCCCACAGAGAGGTATTGATAAAATCAAGTTAACGTTTGACACGAACTAACCTTACACGTGGTCACATTCCCTCAGAATTCAGCGTATTTTTTCAGGATTCTCGCTCTAAAATGATAAAAGAAGGCACATATGAGTTACAGTAAACTTAATATGGGAAAACTAGTGGACTAATAATAAAATTAGGTTCAAAAATCGAATAAAATCGGTCTATTTGGTAGCAACCGGCAATGCTAATGTTTGCCGTTCAAATTCAACAACATGCGTTGACCGTGGCGGAGAGCATTCATTATAGATCGATTACTTTTGAATAAATACCTGTAGACACATAGCCATAAACACCGCTAACAAGATAAGACGACTTGTTAGTTCATCATGAAACGTTCGCTTCTTGAGGGTTTAAAGAGTTCTTCCCAGAGTACTTGCCAAAACAACTTTTCCTGACAAGGAAATGTTCAAAAATGACTTTCTGCATCAAAGTTCGCCCAACTCCATGCTGCAAAGTTTCTTCCTACGTCATCAAAATTTTCATCCTCCGATTGGCTGCAGAGAACAATTTAATTTAAGCTTATTGTTTTTAACAGGACGAGACCAAGAGTGATTTGCATTTTACGCATAAGAGATTCGTTTCTGTTAACTAAACAATAAACAAAATTATGCATAATTTTATGTTGAAATCTGTTTTACGAGTCATAATTTGGGCTGCTTTCCACTGTCGCGCTTTTTTACGCGCGGAAAATTTGAAACGCTTCCATCAAATTGTTATTAGGGAGAATTAGCATGCCCGAAGACGTGAACGTCAAAGACGACGTGAAAATGGCGAGTGAATGTATTGGCATGTCCATATTTGAGCGCATCGCGCCATTTATTCGGCATTTTCACGTCGTCTTTGACCTAAATCGCCTATTATTTCACAAATGGATTTTACAATATGCGTAAAACCAGGTTCTTTCGATTTATTCGACTAACTTTTTTAATTATGTCATATGAGGCTTTAATTAGACTTTTACGTACGTGCACGTCCGTAGTAAAAAAGGCGACAGTGAAAAGCAGCTCTTTATCATTGGAAGTCGCTCCAATTGCACACCAAAGCACGCTTCACTCCCTGAGCGCGAGATTCACCGGTTAAATATTAGGTCAGGTCCAGGTTCCTAGTGTGACCGCATTTTCCGGATGCATGTGACAGTGTATGTAGTGCGCTTGCGGCATACCAACCATGTATTGACGAACGCGTAAACAAAAACGCGGGGAAAAGGGCACAGAGTACTTAAAGGATACAGAGCTGGATCTAGTTTACCCACTTTTGTGTGCGCATGCTCAGCAAGTGCCATTTTTAGTATAATAATTCTGCAATTTATCTTAAGTGCGCAAAACGCTATATAAATGACGATATTTTAAAGCTTCAATTAAGGTGGCTCCCTAGGGTTTTGAGAATTTTTTTAAGTGCAGGTTTGATGATGCAGAATTAAGCACCAACATTGTAAACTATAGATTAAAATTAGCTTTAACGTATTGAGTACCATGTTTGAAATAAGAAAATATTGATTGGCCAATCATAGAAGCTGTTGCCATGGGAACAATGACGTTTCAATATGGCCACCAATTATCATTAAATTACGATTATTTCACAAACCCTTCGGTGAAATGTCTTCTTTTTCCACTGAAGATTTTTCCAGATGGTTAGTAATTGACAGGACAATTTTAAGAAAAAGTTATCGATACAAAAAAAATTAAAGGGGGAAAATATGGTTTTACGCAATTAAAAAAAACCTATCGATAGCTTTCTTTTAAAATTGTCCGGTCGTTTACTAAATGACCTGCAAAGCATTCGGTGAAAAATAAAAAAAATTCACCGAAGGATTCACGAAATAATTGCAATTAAATTATAATTAGCGGCCATATTGAAACCTCATTGTTTCCATAGCAACGGCCTGCATAGTTAATCCGTCAACAGTTTCTCATCTCTGACGTACTCCACAGTATAATCAAAAGTATTATTATATACCACTTGTCAAAGTTTGGTGTTCGTAGCGTTTCATTGGTCGAGAGCGAATCACGTGAGAGTGACGAAATTTTGATGTCGCCCGCGCGACCCCCAGCAGGGGGAAACAATGCATTATTTCATGGGAAATAACAACTTTAATCACGTGCTGCACTCGTGGACATCTGACCTTTAGTTGACATTGGGCTAAGTTGACCTTCGTCCTTCGCAGCGTTTGTTTCTTTATTTGAAATTACATGTTTTATAAATAAACATTTCGTTGTTTACTTCGTTGTTTAGTTTTTCTTTGACAAGTGGTATACAATAAAAAACTTATTTACTGCGACCTCAGAAAACATTATGTTTAGTGGACCCTCGACCGTCGATATTTCACTCGGCTTTGCCTCGTGAAATATCGACAGGTCTCGGGTCCACAAAACATAATGTTTCCTTCGGTCGCAGTAAATAAGTGTTAATTATTGATCTTTAGTCTGCAATATTGGCGCCTAATTCGCCACAACAAACCTACTATCTAGAATTTAATGTTTGAGCAAGAAATTCCAAGCTGTTTTGAACCACTGAGCTATATAATAATTCCTGGAGGACCGGCTCGTCATTTTTCGGTAACTTCGCCGCCATCTTTTTGTCGCCAAAAACATGGCGGACTTCGCCCTTCTGCGCAACCGCAGAAGCTCTGCTGACGCCACATGGTTCCTTTTGGCCATGGTATTTACCACTGACCGGGCTCAAATATGAGCCCGCTACAAGGGTGTTCTCCCCCCTGGATTTAGTAAACAACAGATTCTCCCCCCTGGCCTTTATAAAAAAAATTCCCTTGAAAACTTGTTTTGTTTTTCTGAAATATAAAGTCATGAAAACATCATTAATTGCATTTTTTTTAAATATAAAGCGTTTTTTTTAAGATGAATACAAGTCGTAGATGCTGTTATTGCCAACGCAAGAACAATTGTATATTAAAACGTCAAAAATTGTGGACAAAATTGAAGATTTTAATTCTGACACGAACTGACAGGTGTTTTTTTTATATTTTCATTATTTATACATTCCTATAACAAATGCTTGAACTTTTTGGCACTATTGTCGGACATTTTGGGGACAACTGGATATTTATGGACATCAATTAGACTTTTTTAAACCCTGCATGAACAGCAGAATTACTGAAAGTATGCAATTAATAATGTTTTCTTGAATGTCTTCAGGACAATATATCTAGGTACAATACTGGATATTTATGGACATCAATTAGACTTTTTTGAACCCTGCATGAACTGCAGAATTACTGAATTCAATTAATAATGTTTTCTTGAATGTCTTCAGGACAATATATCTAGGTATAATCCAAAGAAACAGAGGCCAAAGCTCAGGGGCAAGATGCTTGGCAGCTGACTAAGTGCAAGAGTATAGTTTCAACCATGAGTCATATTTGCATAATATACTTTTCATTAAGGTCATCAGCTTAATTGTACCTCAATGGGCTATAAAAGTTTTCAATAATATCCAATTGCACCCCTGGACCCCTGGTCTTATTAATAAATAATATTCATCCCTCCATAGACTCAATTACTCCTGATTAGCCCATTGAATTTAGCCCTCTTGAAGTTTGATATACCATAAACAGAAACTTATAAAAGAGGCTGCAGATTGAAGATACATTTCTCACACAGTGCATTTTATATTTATTTCCTTTGTAAATATAACAATGGTTTTAAAAATAACAGCCAAAACAAAATCAGATAACATGGTAATCAAGGATAACAATGCAGATTCATAACAATGTGTATAATATGCTTAATACATCTCAGTTCAATGTTCCCACAAATTGCATGACAATTAGTTAATAAGCCATCTCTAGCTTGCTTTATTTCATAGCATCTTCATCCTGAAAAATATAAATGGAAATATGATCAAGATTTATTCACAAGGTGCAAGAAGTTAAAAAATCAATTAATATAAGCCATGATAATTGATTTGAATTTGACAAGGCAAACAAGATAATATATTAACTAGGTTTTAACAGTCACCATCATCAGAGCTTGAAATTTACACTGTTTGCAGCAATTACTTTGCATTACTTTGCATCAGCACCCACTCAGCACTTTTGTCAGTTAGATCATGTAATTATTGCTTGAATCTAATAGACTCACTGAGGGGAAGGTTTACCTATTTACATTATTGTTTGTTATCATGAAAACAAAATAGACCAAACTTAAAGATTGACATTGCCAGGAATTTAATTCCTTCTCCACACAAGTCAAGAAAAATGATAAAGTTTGACTGTTTCGTCTGTTTGAGTATATAACATTGCACATGTGCCAAAGTTCTAAAATAGTATATTTGCTGTTTGTACCATAAGTTTTGATGGATTTATATGGCTCAGAGCCTTTGGTAATCATTTTATATTCGAGTCCAAAGGCAAAAAACTGAAATTGTTATAAAAACCGGCTTACCTGGATGCCATAAAATAACAGCCGAATGAGAAAAATCATTCCCCCGATAAGTGAATTAAGCCATTCACAACGTCAGACGCAGAGCACGAAGCTACGTGTCCTTTCCATTTGTTGAACAGGGAAAAAGAGAAACACTTTTTAAGTCTTTTATCCATTTTATATGAAAAACAAAAAATATGTACAGAAAGCTGAAAATATTTTCATAAAAACCAGGAGGGAGATGGACACAGTTTTTCACCTTGTATCGCGGTGTGTCAGTGGTAACCACCATGAGCAAAAGGAACCATGTGGCGTCAGCAAAGCTCAAAATCCGCCATGTTTTTGGCGACACGATTTGGCAGCGAGCCGGTCCTCCAGGAATTATTATATAGCTCAGTGTTTTGAACATTTCAGGCACTTTCCGAGCATGCGCAGTTGGTCACTTTTACGCCATATTTTATTAATTTCTGTATATGTATCTACTCTAGTAAATTATCAGTGAGGCAAAGCAAAGTTCTGGCGAAGTTGAACATTCTTCTTCATTTTAATACGGTACGTATTCATATTACATTTGGCACCGTCAAATAAAGAACATGTATTGCCATCAGTTCGTCCTCTTTAAGTTGTATTATGTGCTGCTGATACAAAGCAAGCCTATGGCTATGAAAATATTCAGTTGGTCAATGGTGTCGCAGACTTGATGGGCTTAGCAGTAGTTTAGGCTTATCTCATACATCCCAAATGACGAAAGCTGAAGTCGAAGTGGCACATGATTAAGCCTGTCACGGTTCTTTATCTAATGGCTATTTGATGATGGAATCATAGACAATCCAGAAGACATTGTCTTCTGGATTGTCTATGATGGAATCACGTCGTACAAATTTACAATTTATACAGCTTGTGCTGCACTTTCCACATTGCCCTTGCCATGCAATTGATGAACTTTAAGCAAATTGCGGGTAAATATAATACACTAGTTTAAGGACGTTGTATGCAAGAGAAATAATGGCTAATTAAGGACACATTAAATTTTTGTATACATTTCTCTAGTCTGAAACTGCAGTCAAACAGTTATTGTAAAAGTTGTAACACTCAACCAAGGCTCAATTTTTTATCATTTGCACATCAGAAATGGTATGTTCATTAAAAAGGCGTCTTAACCTTGCATTAAATGGATATCAATGTCCCCTTGTTGCCTGGTTCCAATATAATACTGGCACATTTATACTGTAGACTCATATAGATTGTTAATTTGATATTAAATATACTAATTAACTTTACTTTTTATATTTTATAATACAATTTTACCCTCATCAAATAAAATCGCATTCAATTAATTTTGAAAAGTGTAACTCCAATTTTAAAAATGTCTTTGACACATTATAATTACTGGTGTGTTTTAATTGTTAAATATTGATATGTACATTGTATTTGATTTGATCTTCTCACTTGCTCAAGATTCTTACTATGGCCATTGTATAAGCAATGATTGATCTGTGAGAATTGACTCTATATATAGTCAGAATATGATGAATGCTCACTTATATCCATGCTTACCTTTAACTAATTACATAATAGCTGCTGGCAGAAGAGCTAGAGTGCCAAGCCTCTCCCAGAGGTCCTTTATTGAGTCCACAAAAATTACACAAAATCACTGGAAGCAGTGATTAAAGTGCAAAAAAAAATTAAGTTTAGCACCTGATTGGAAATCCTGAAATAAAGTTGTTTTACAAATTATTGAGTTCAATTTTGTTAGTCACCACCAATTTGTAGATCACTGATGGTAGATCAATAATTCACTGATGGTATACCGATAGATCACTACATTAATTCACTGATATTAAATCACTGATAGTAGATCAATAATAGTAGATCACTGATGGTATATCACTGATTCACTGATTAGTAGATCACTTAATTCACTGATATTAAATCACTGATGGTAGATCACTGATAGTAGATCAGTGAACTCAATAAAATACATACAAAGACTGGAATCATAACTGCAGGCCGATATTTAGATTTAGGACCAGCACCAGTTTTGTTAATTAATGATAATTGCCAGTCTGCCAATTATCAACTGCATAGACATGAACTAGCTACAGTTGCATGTCCCTCATTTCACCTTCAAATTGCCTATAGCTAGCTAAAAGATTGTGTCTAAGTTATCATTCCAGTTCACATGCAGTTCTCTGGTAAATCTATTGTGTAATTAACTCATTTACGTTAAATTGAATTGCCTGTACTGTGTCATACCATTATTCCCTTGCAAAGAATAATGGTCTTTGTGGTCAGATGCAAGTAGCTGTTACACGCAAGTTATATTACCTTTTTAACAGAAATTTATTAGTCTAGTTTTATCCCTTCTTTTAGACTTTATGGCTGAATCATTACGAAGTCAATTTGAGGAACATTTGAGATGTGCTATTTGTTTAGAGCAGTTGAAAGACCCAAAAGTCTTGCCTTGTTTACATTCTTATTGTCATGACTGTATTGCAAAACTTGATATGAAAGATGGTGTGTTAAATTGCCCAGAATGTCGAACAACAGTTGAGGTATGATTATACTATAATACGGTTTACACTTATTAATATTAATGTATGTAAGAAATATTAAAAGTATGAGATATTATAACAATAGATTTGATGTTCGCAGGCATTAATGTGTTCAGAGTCAGGCCGAAAACATTTATGTCCAAGGCCAAGAACATCAACTGTATTACGGTACTATTATATTTAATTTAAAGGGCAATTTTTGTATAAAAAATTGGATAAACACTTTCTTCATTCTCCTGATTGGCTTAGATCAGCGGGCTAAAATATATTTCAGCCCGCAAAATACACCGCAATGCCCGCCAAAGTTAATATAATACACGTTTTGTCCTTTCATTTCTGCCTACATTTAGTTTAAATTCATATTTTTATGCCTAGTTGAGTAGTGGCGACTTGCTAAAGAAAATACGCCGATATTCTTTTCACATCATCCACATTAAGTATTGCTTCAATTTCGCTCGTAATATTTAATATCTACTGTATCATCAGTTTAGCTTCTGTATTTCCGCTGCTAAAATGAATTACCTTTCAAGTTTTTGCTATTATTCACCATATATTTGCTATGAAACTTAGATAATTATTACATTCCGCATGCATTGTTATACTAGCGTCAACAAGCCTTGATCCCAAGCAACTTTTTATTGCATTGGACGACTTGCGCTTTAGACTAATTTCTTACCTCGGCGATAAAAAGGACATTTAATTTCTGAAAGAGCTTACTAAAATAACTGCCAAGTTTGACTGCGAATTGTTGTAAAATACGGAATATAGCCATGCGAAGTTGTCGATTTTTGTATACTAAATTAGTTACACATTTCCGCACGTAATACAAAAGTATACTAAATTTGCCAACTTCGCATGGCTATATTTTCCCTATTTTACAAAATTTCGCAGCCAAACTTGGCAGTTTTACTAATTTAAGTAAGATCTTTCTAGCTGGGGTGATTTATTTGCCTCTAGTTACTTCAATCAAAGTTAGTCTATTGCGCAAGTTGTCCATTCGGTATTCCATTTTACCTATTTCGATGCAAGTTCATTAATTGCGCATAGCAGACTAAATATCATGCATGGCTACAATGGCCGGTACTGACAATGTGCATGATTTGATCACGGTACATTTTTTGAGTCCCTTTATAATCAGAATTTAGCTAAAAGTAAATGATCCATTTTTAGGTTCCCAACCCCCCGGACGTCTCATTCTTGCCTACGAATTTTTTTGCGAAAAACCTTCTCGCAACTGTGTTGTTGGCTGCGGAATCCAATTCGGGAGATATTATCTGTGAAAATTGTGATAGTAAAGAGCTGCCAGAAACTAGATGTCGACAATGCACACGATATCTTTGCAAATTTTGCACTGAAGCACACAAACGATTTCGGGACACAAAAAATCACACTTTGAGCACATTGGACGAGTTAAAAGATAGCAAAATACCCGTGATCACCGAAACTGATCGATGTCCTAAGCATGAAGACGAAGTTCTCAAGCTTTACTGCAACACATGCCAAGAAACAATATGTCGGGATTGTATTATTATAGATCACCATCAACATGATTTCGTGTTTGCCCGAGACGTGTTTCAAAAAAAGAAGGACGAATTGTTTGAGTTGGTTGGGGAGGTAAACGTGAAAAAGAGCGAGTTTGGGGACAACTTGGCTTATCTTAAAGAAGTGGAAAACAACTTTCATGAAGGCAAAGTCAACTCAGTAAAAAAAATCCATGAATATTTCGAGGGCTTGGGTGATGTTCTTGAGAAAGAGAAAAATAAATATTTGGAGGAAGCCGAGATCCTCAACGTTGGCAAGATAAAGCAACTTCATGTTAAACAAGAAGAATTAGAATTGAATATTGCAAGCTGTGAGAGCGCTGTTGAATTCACCCAGCGAGCTTTTAGCAATGGAAATGATGTGCAAATTTTGAATTTAACAAAGTACATGACACAGTGTTTAGAAAATTTAAAGAATGGAAATGCTGATCAGAGGTCATGTACTGGAGAAAAAATAGAGGTGAATGAATACTCGGATCTCTATGATCGAATGGTGCAATTTCGTTTGATTGATTTTAATGATGACAGCCCAGATAACTTCATCGCCACCCTCACTTCACCTTTGACAGTTTCAGAGAAAGCAGAAGTAGTGATAAAGAGGAAAGATCCCAATAATTCAATTGTGAATAATAGTAAAATTGCGATGATACCATGTTTTCAAGATATCGCAGTAAAAGATGTTTCCATTGAAGATCGTGACGATGGGTCACGTGCTGTACGTTTTACTCCACTGCAATGTGGAACATTAACATTAGTAACGTATATGAATGGTTCATCCCAGGCTTGCCTCACGGCCACAGCAATGGTTCATGACAAAATTGCCTCTATCCGTAGCGATTTTATGCGGGAGTATTTCGGCAATAGACGCGACAGGAGACAGGAGCCTAGTGACGATAGACAGGAGATTAGAAGATTTAAAGGTAGAGGAAGCGATAGACGCCGATAAAGATTTTAGATTTCAAGAAACGAATCATAGTAAAATTCCCTTGTGTGATAACATTGTGCACTTTTTGACCTACAAATGAAGTCTTCGGACTTTAATGAATTCCGACGTCTACACATACTGCATGGTAAATTGCGCACATCGCAAGTTTCACCCCCCATATAGTCAATTCAAGACATCTTAGATAAGTTCTTGTGTATACATATAAGTTCGCCTTGACGCATCATCCGTCTATTAGGGTTGCTTTCCACTGTCGCGTTTTAACACGTACGTACACACACGTAAAAGTTTTTAATTATGCTTTTAATTTTTTATTATTTAACATCTAGGTCAACTAATGCATTCTAAAATGCGTAAAAAACTAAGTTCTACTTATTACTACAAAGATTTATTCACTTCGTTTTTTTAAAGATAACTTATATAAGAATTTAGACTTTGACGTGCGTATGAAAAACGCGACAGTGCATGGAAAACAGTCCTTGTATACGGGGTGGGTACGAACAACAAAATTTTCATCATAAAACGGCTCTTGTACACTCTTTTTACCACATAAATAATTTCCCAATTCCAGTGCAATTTCTCAACGTGTGATATATAATACTGTAGATCGTCTAGATCGTGTGTTTATACTCCAGACGGATCATCCGTCTCTAGTATAATTCGGGCCAATGTCTGTTGCATGCACTCAACAAGTAAAGTACTACAATCTCAAGCTTCACGAAGAAAATCAAGGTCTTCTTTGCAGTTAATACAATAGGAAAATGCCATATTATAATTGAAAAAGTTGCTGTACATGATTTCTCTTCTGACTGTTAGTGTTGAGAAACAAGATTAGTGACCATGCAGTTGGGTCACTTGGGTGTACTTTTGAATCCCTAGTTACTAATGTATTGTCTTTCTTTTTTATCCTCGTTCGTTTTTTTAAATCTTGTAAGTTGTAGCTTAATAATATTTGTAACATACTCGTAAAATAGTTTAAATGAATCTCAAGATATCAGCGATAGGCAAATACTTATTTTAGATAGTTAAATTTTCGGCTTCTTATTTCCTCGTGGACTCTAGATTTTTAGAAAAATCTACTCTGTCTCGAGTTGTAATTTTTGTAATAACTAAAGATTGTTTTCTTATCGTTCGAAGTTGTTAAATGGTTGCAAATAAAATGTTTATCATGCTCTCAATTCCCATCTCCCAGGCTATCTCTTCATTAATGCTTACTACGTTACTGCATTGAGTTAATTGGAAAAAGAAAATGTCGAGCCAAAGTCGAACCAAGAATATAAAGTTTACTTGGTTTAAACCTTCGTTCATATAATAAAGGAAGCTTATATTTTATAGATGTAAATTGACTTCAGTTTAAAATGTATTCACTTGTCAAAATAAAAGTCTTAAAGTCAAATCTTTCAGGTAGTTAGCTAATAATTACAATTCTGCACTATCATATTGTTTGTGAAACACTAAATCCATATAATGTCACATATGTATGTAAAAATATGTTATGCGAAAGTTATCGATTGGCTGTTTAGCGATGCTGCAATCCAAAAAAAGTTTCTTTCCGTACATTTGTTTCACTATCGTAATCCAGTTGTGTTGTGGACCAGAAGATATATATTTCCGTCAACACAGGAATGTTGACTACACATCACACGGATGCATGTACGCTTTTTGAGATATTTCAGTATTCAATCTGCAATCGTAGCCAGTTCAATCGAGTTAAGCTTGTAACTGCGACATGGTTTTACGTTCTAATCGAAACTAACTATTACATGCATCTGTTTACGTTAAAAACTAGCAACTAAATCAGAAGGGATTGCCAAAACGTCTTAAAGGTCACGATCTCTATGTTTTTCAACTGCATGCAGACAATATAGACAATGTTTCTCATACGTTATACAGTATGTTTTCTATGCCCTGAGAATTTATCAAAGTCGTATTCATTTTTCCAGTCAACATAAACCGGTCTCGCCAAACCAAAACACGAACATTGAAAGAAATCAGCAACATTTCCAATAATCCCACGTCTAAAAGATATGCAGCATATAAAACTTAGTATTCTTAAATTGAGGATTCATTTTATAGCAATTGTTAGCTCTAAATCAGGAATTTACAAACTTGGGAAACTTACAAATGACCAGCACAAAGAGTATAGAAAACCCGTAGACCACCCAAAAATTAGACGTAATAAAATTACGTCTACCCAACCCTTTTTGAGATTAATATATACAGTTATGCTTGCTCTGCCCCGAGTATAACACTTTATACAAAGTGAACCTGCATTATCATGCAATGTTTTTTCTTACACAGACATACTTAACCCCCCCTTTTTCTTCCACCAGTCGCTTTTTGCTGTAAATATTAACCATATGAACTTACGAGAAAGGACTAGTTGGCATGCCGTCACTTCCGGTGAAGAAATGTTGATATCTTGGAGCATTTATAATTTCATTCGTTGTCATTCCTCGCCAAAATATCTAAAAAAAAGCGGCTGTGTTTTTACTATACGAATAACGACAGATCACAATGAGTGATGCTGTTTGGTTGCAGAACGCTGCATGATGGAAAAATATGGCTTTGCATGTAAAGTTCACAAGATATCTATTTGTCTTTAAGCGGCTACGAGGCGTCCAACAACCGAAAAAGTCGTCAAAATCATGTCAAACATTGTTACGCTACTCCAGTTTACGTGATCAAGATTTAAACATCATCAAGATTTACGAGATGAGACATGATTGCAAAAACATAATATTAGCGAAATCATGTTAAACTGCATGGTGCATGTTTACCGTGAATGCTACTACCACTATTGAATGAATGGATTAATCTAGCAAAAGATAAAAACAAATACTCGCCATATTATTCTACTAAATGGTAACGATAGTTTACCTGGTAGCATTGCGATCCAAACAAGGAACTGACCCAGAACAGATAAAATACAGCTAAGAATATCGTCCAGGACACCATACCAGAGCATTTGAACATTGCTGTAAAACCTTTCAAAACGCCATTATCAAATGCACTACACTTGTCCGTAAAAACTGAAAAAAATTATATCGTTTTTTTTTAAATACGGGCCATAATTTCTGCATACCAAATAATGCACGCAGTTGGGAGGCGCACTGGGTAACAAATCTGACCGATGGTGACGAGATATGGAATTATATTACGATTTTCGACCGGATATACCATTGGGGAGCTTTGGATTTAACTATATGATGCAGTCCCATAGTCTCAATCCCCCCAATATATTTATTAATCTATAACTACTTACAGTAAAATGATCCATACACGACATACGTGTAGCAGACAATCACTGAGAACAGATATATGATGAATGCTGCGTGGTTACCTACACCTAGATATAAAAGAGGATGCCATCATTTTTTTTTGAATCATTGTTAACAACGAGAACAACAAGCCAAAGTTGGCGTCCAGGGGTCGGTTGTTCGAAGGGCGTTTAGCTTAAACGGTGGATAAGTTCGAAATGGAAAAGAAAATTATCGATTTATTGAACAACTGAGATAAACTATTTCGATGTAAATAATTCAATTTTCAATGCATGGAAGTACATATTTTTAATGCATCAGATGCAGGTTCGGTCATTCAACGATCTATGACAGTATTTTTGAGCTTTGGCTTATCCACCGTTTAAGCTAAACGTCTTTCGAACAACCGACCCCAGATTATAGTATATCTTACCTATACAGTTATCAACCCACGGGCAATGATGATCCATACGAGCGACACAATGATCACACACAGAGCAATGCTTAGAACGAACTGGACGTCTTACCTAATGAAACATATAGAACGGTATTATACATGCCCACATCTATAGATTCGACCCTGCATGCATATATTTTATCTTACAACCTGAATACAGTACGATCGTTATCAATATTAAGCATTTTCTTTACTTCTTCGAGCGCACTAGCTGCAACTAGGCTAAGTTATCTCTGCTCGCGTTTAGAAAGTGTCTGTTTGATCTCGTCAAAACTGTCATATCAAAACTGCTTGGTTGTACTTACAAGACATGTTGGGCAGAAGCGTTTGAAGTCAAGAGTACCATCTTCAGCAAGATTAACAATAATCTGAAAAGAAAAGATCATTATGCAGCAGCTGTCGTGGTACCTAATAATCACTGAAGACGTAAGTAAATAATGCTTATTGGTAAATTGCAACGGGTATCTAATAACTATAGCACTTCCCAGCATCTCATGCAGGAGTAAAAATCCATGCAGAGACGAAATTTTGCAGGTCACGTGCAATTATTGTAGTAGAATGTGTGTTGCATGTATGAATGCTTGTTTACACATAAAATATTCTTCCTACATATGCTTTGTAACTTTTCACCCCACCCGTGCATGGAAATATTGTTTATTAACGACTTCAGAATGTTTCTTAAACAATTTGTTTCTCGAGTTTGATTTTTGTTGCTGGGTCATCGTTTCTCCCTTATTTATACAAACCATGGGAAATAAGACAAAACTGATGCTTAATTTGTCAATGGAATGTCAACAGTCGATGTTTAATTGTAAAGGTTTTAACAAGGTAATGTTCTTAAGCATTTGAAATAAACGACAAAAATTTTTAATTGTAAACATGTTTCGACTTAACTATAAGCCATCTTTAGTGCAAATGGATAAGCTATTTACATTATGAAATATATAAAGTAGAAATATGAATATATGATATTATTACATTATGAAATATATAAAGTAGAAATATCATATTTCTACTTTATATATTTCATAATGTAAATAACTAGTTCATTTGCACTAAAGATGGCTTAAAGTTAAGTCGAAACATGTTTGCAATTAAAAATTTTGTCGTTTATTTCAAATGCTTAATTACTCTTGTGCTATTCAGATCATATGATAATGTTCTTGACTCATACCCTTTTTCTTTCCCCGTGTGTCGCTGTAATGATACCAGGATCTGTTTTCCACGCTTTATAAAACGAGTAAAATAACATCGTCGAAAATCCACAGAAGGGTAAAATAAAATATAATGAACAATGTAAAAATTGTTAAGGAAATAACAGCCGGAAAGAACAAGTGTAAAGTCCACAGTGCATATATCGCATGCTTCATTGCCGAGGTATCAATAAAAACACACAAAAATGGAATTATGCAGAAAAATAGACGTGAAGCAATGTCAGTCAAAAAGGATATAATCCAGAATATAAAAGTACCATACAGTATACGTCATAATTTTCGTTGCTATAGCAATACCAAGAGCTATAGGATTAGAATTGAGATCATAACTATAAAATAACCTGAAAGAAAAGGGAATATAAAATAGATTGAATGCTGGTGTTGGTAGAAGACAAATTAGAGAGAAATGCATCTTAGGTCAGCGAGACAGTGTTCTAACCAGTCTACTTTATATGACAGAGAATGTAGCTTGTACAACAAGGCTTAATTAACGTATGCATTAGGGCCTGGGTATTCTGGGTTAATTTACAGTGCATCACAAAAAAATGATTGGGTATTCCCCTTTACATTTGTCTTAATACGATATTTTAAATTTTGATGAAGAAAACGAAGGTCGAATGATACGATTACTAAGACTGTGTTCAGATTTAGTGCCCGGCACCGGTGCCCAAAGATAAACCATGCTGAGCACAGTTTCCATGTTGAGTACTACGCGCCCTGGGCACTCAAATTAATTTGGAGGCGAGGGGCTGTTTAGCATGGTTACTAGACTTGCTACAAGTCGACTCTTTAAACCCACACGCGAGTTTGACTCTTCCGCGCGTTCCTTCCCTCGCTTTCGCGACCTCGCTACGCTCGGTCGCTCAAACTCGCGTGTGGGTTTAAAGAGTCGACTTGTAGCAAGTCTACATGGTTACCCGAGATTCAACGAAGCGTGAGGTATTAAAATGAGCAGATAACATGATCCTGGCAGTCGTATAATCACCACAACAATAGCATGTGCTTGTTTGGTGTCATAAAGACTTATTTCAATACCTCATATTCCCCCAACGCTTCGTTGAATCTCGGGTAACCGGGCTCATGTAAACAGCCCCTTAGGCGCCAGAAAAAGCGGCGGGCATGCCAGTGCTGGGCATCTGGGGTCTTTTGACAAGAATCGAACATGGTCAGGAGAAAACATTTTCAATATGTTAGATATATAAACGTTACTATATGTATATACGTTTACAATATGTTAGACATATACACGTTACTATATACGTAACTTCGCTTAAATATTAATAGCTATGAAACATAGAGTATTGATCATACCTTATACAGCCCCAGGTTATTAGCAGGGTAGCGAAAACGAGTAGGAAACATTCCCAACCACTTGTCCACTCCAAAAAACAAGCAACAGAGAAGAGAGTATAGAATGGAATCCAGAACATGATACGATAACGAAACACCTAACGAAGGTACAAATGAAACGTTACACGATTGTACAGCAGACATGACGTGCACCAGGGCAGTTGTATACAGGTTCAAAGTACCAGCAAAAAATTTAAATATCAAACAAGGTTCGGTCTACCTGCCTCAAAAAAGACTCTGAACTTCCAAATACACAAAAGTACTTTTAATGGGGTACTGATTTTCGTACCCAATTAACTCGAAATTAACCCGAATTACTCGAATCCCAGATGCAACCACCCCACCCCGAGTAAATTTATCCCTAGGTTGAAATTGGGGGTCGCCTTTCGGATTGCTACATCGGTAAAATGACAAATGTTTGGTTAACTCAGTTCACTAGGACACAACTAGTCTCTTGTGATCGTTTTTGAACCAAATCTTAGTGTGGCACTTGCTATTTCTGAAGTATGCTATGAATCTAGCACAAACAGATTTTCACAGTGCTTGGTGCTACATGAATGCTGCTTTAATGCAGAATACAAGAAAAATAAAATACATGTTACCTTATTAGTTGATATGTTGCGAAGCCAACCAGGTTGCTCACGACCTTGGTTTAAATTCAAATATTCTAGCTGAGTCATTATCCAAGATGATTTCTTCTGCTTGGCAAGATCTAGAGGAGTCTCACCCTAAACGTACGTTGTATGAAATGTTTTATAAATATTGAACATACATACAGCACTTGACAAATAAATAGATCTTGGATTAAACAGTAACATACAGAAGGTTCCTACCATAGTTTCATTCTAAAAATGCTGGTGCAATACAGCATGAAAAAGATCTACTACCACGAAGTACTAGCGGCTGTGATTATCCCCAGCAACAGTTTGCGTCACGTAGATTTGACGAATCTTACCCACGCAATTACAGTACAGCACATAAGAGAAAAAGACTATATTGGACTCTGTTCACTGACCTTTTCATTCGTGATAGTTGCGTCCGCGGATGCTTTGGTTAACACTGAAAGACCAGTGTGGTTACTGGAGATAACTGCCCAGTGTAAGGCTGCACAAAGAAATTGAAAGAAACAATTTACTACAATAAATGACTGGCTGATCCTTTCTCAGTTACAGGGATACATAGAGCCAGAAGAATACACTTCTATATTGAGCTTCGTCAACCAGACCTTTTCCCCTTTACTGAGAGCTTGTACAGTATACCCCCTCCCACTATTCTAAGAGATTGTGCTAGGAGGGCTTATTTAGTACTGCATTAGTAATACAGTATTACGAGCTCCATTTTGAAGTTACGAAATCTGGTTCAGTCCTTATTTCAGTCAAAATTATGAAGTGAGAGCAAAAACATGATCGACTCATTGGCATGCAATGTCTGGTCAATTCAGTTCACTTGGACACAATTAAAGTCTGTTGTGATCGTTTTTGAACCAAAAATTGATGTTGCACTGGTATTTCTGATACAGACTATAAAGTTAGTACAATTCAGATTTTCACAGTGCTTAATGTAAAATGTAAATTATTGCAGCATTGCATTGAAGGGTAAAGCAGCTACAATGTACACCATGTTGAAACAGTGACATTGGTGAACTCGTATACATGTACCCACGATGTTGTTTGATATGTACAAGCGTGGAATGATTGTTAAATTGTAATTCCAAATGGTTTTCCTTATAGGATTGCGTGATCCTCAGCCACGAGGGATGTTCGAGCCGATGACGAGTGTATTTTCCTTCTTTCCAAAAGTCGAGCAACATCCCTCGTGCACGGAGCACACATTCCTGCCGGGAGAAACATTTCAAACCACGAGAATCATTAAATTCCTCGTACATACAGTATATGTAGGTGGTTTTGTCTCATACTGCACGACTTTATACCAATCAGATTGCGTCTTTCATTTTAGTTATACATTATTTACAGTACGTACTTCTTCACACATGTTCTTTTCACACACACTGGCTCGTAATATAATAATGCATGTAATTTATGTATACCTGTATTCTTATGAAATTTATCCCTTCGGTTCACCGATGCTCCCATTGTCAACAGCAATCTTATGGTATCCACTCTAAAACAGGATTACAGCACATTAATAAAGAAATATATTGTTTGCGGTGATTAAAGAAAATAGACATTTATTTTTGCTACTTTATACTCGACTCCTATTTATGCTCAACTCTTATATATATGGAATAACGTATAGGTACATATTACTTCAGTACATAAATACTTCAAACAATTGACTATTACACATAGCTGACACTCACCCAAATGATCTATAAGCTGCCCACATGAGGGGTGTCATACCATTATTATCAACTTGATCGACATCCTGAATGATTAAAACAATTCATTTTATAATTGCCCAGGCTCCAATCATTGTTATCATCGAATAAACGATTAAATTATGTACTAACTAAGAAAAATAACTGGGAAACGTGCAACGAAATCATACTTATGGAGTGGCAGGGACGATTCAAGATTCCGTTCGTTGGTGCTCCTACCAGGAGTATTGTTGTTGTTCAGGTATGGTAATGTATTGTTAACATTTACATGTATTACATTGCTAACTATCACAAGTATTATTCCCGTTTACTTGAGGCTCAGTAAACAGTACTTACCATTCCTTTGCCAATAAGATAAGCAACAACAGCTGTATGACTGAGTTGACTCGCCACATGCAGACATGAGCAACCTGAAGCATAGTTCAAAAAGAAACTAAAACGTTGAAATGAATGAATATAGTCACCAATGGCAGGAGAATCTTCTGCCGAGTCTAGTATGCTAAGAAATTGTCAGGTTTTGTTATCTCGCAGAAGGTTTTTTATTTGATATCAGAGAACAGTGATGTGTTATTTCATTACTACTTATTTTCGGAGGAAATTTTAATTTTAAAATCGCGCTGCCAGAGAAAAAATCTTGGTGGCTGCTAAAACCTGGTGGTGCCATGCCATGCACGCGCAGAAAACCAGTAAAAGAGTGAGAAAGATCATTGAGAAGGTCTTGAGAAGATCGATGACTTGTAGAATAAGCGAAGCAAAGGCGATAGATGCATTGGGAAGGCTGTTACTTCGTATCACTGGATCACGCCTGTTTTACAACAAGTCGAGGTCACAGATGATACTGTACACGCGTCCATGCATGTGGCCAGCTGTGTCCTGGTACCTCAATGGTCCATTGATGGAATAACCATTAATTTTACAAAAGTGTGTACAAAAGGCATAAAACAGTGAGTTCCGGTACCTTCGATATCCATTGAATTGGGATCAGCTCCATATTTCATCAGCATGACAACCATGTTTAGTAGACCTTGTCTAAACAAAATAAACGCTTAAAATACCCGGGTTAATCCAAAACCATGCATTTAAAACCGACGACGATGTTTCAATTATATTAGACAACGACATTGATATTTTATAGCGTCTATAGCGTCAATTTAACTATATCATTGTTGTAAACAAATACTAACAGATTGGTAACTAATAACTTAATTATTGGAAAACACGTCAATCGACTAAATAGACTACCAATTCACATTCACACTTCATCTCCGTTCTGATTTCTACGATAGCCTAATCTTATTGGTTCGTATATTCAGGTGCTTTCTTATTGGTTCGTAATGAGGTGTTGCTTTTTTATGTTTGTGGGCGCAGCTAGGCAAAGCTATAGTGGAATTATTTCCTGCCCTTGCACATTGTCTGGTTAATTCAGTTCACTAGGACACAAAGTCTGTTGTGATCGTTTTTAAACCAAGTGACTTTAATATTGCACTGGTATTTCTGATGCAGACTATGAACTTAGCGCAACCCAGATTTTCACAGTGCTATAATTGTAGAAACTGCTATATCTGTCTTTTAAAATAATTATTTATTTTATGGAATGCTACCAAGAAAACGCTGTTCAAATGACTATTGCATGCGAAAAACGAATAACCAACACATCTTGAATATACAAAATACGATTAGTACAAGATGCACGTTTGAGAGTGTAAATTTTTAACTTTACAGTTAAAAGTCGTCTCCACAAAGAATATTATGTTGCCCCATATAGGCCCGTTTAAACTCGCAAAAAGGTAAAACAACTTTGTAGAACGCTTTTTAATCTTATTTTGCGAAAACATTGAATCGCCGTAAAACTGTCGAGATATTTGTTTACGTTTGTAAAACATGAATTCTCTACAACTGATTTGCTTTTCTCAAAAATCACACCTCAGGCTCGGTGAATATCGCTAAATAAAAATCTCGACTTCGTCTCGGTTTTTATTGGGCAATATTCACTTCACCTTCGGCGAATAATTGTAAAATATTTTAAATATAAGAATATACATACGTAACACATTGAATACTACTAACCTCACCGCCCAATGCAGAGGTGTTGCTTCTAAATTTCCTCCTTTTTGATCGACAATCGCACCATTTGTAATGAGATATCTGGCAAATAAAAAGATATAATTGCTGAAAATTTTGAATGCTTTACAGACATTAAAACGTCAAGGTTTGGCGGAAAACATCTTACAGGCTTTTACTATAAACTCAAAACTGGACAGAATTCAGTCTTTTTTATCAGTTTATTACTGCTTCAAGTCATTGGTCAACTGAATCATAAATTAGCGACGGACTATACAATTCGGAGACTGAAAAAAAATACACGGGGTTAATTTGCGTGCGCAATTGGGTGGAGTAGCTATATAGACGGTGAAGTTTGATAGAATAACGTAGGAATGTCAACCGCTCGCGTAGCTTTTAAATACGTTTGAAGTACTTGTATTCACTGACATTTGCGCTATTGGCCGCACTTATATTAGAGGACGGCTTAGACGTCTGAGACGACTTTGACGTCCGAGACGTTAAAGACGTCTTATAGTTAGATAAATAGCCGAATTTATATTAGAAGATGGATTTCTGTCTTTGACGCAAAACTCGACACAGACGGGTAACTATTCTTGATACCTGCATGTGCTCTCTTCTTGGACGACATTTTGTATTCCAATTAACATACACCGCGAAGCTTAATTACCAGTCTTTTATTTCCATTTTGGGCTAAAATTTGTGTGATTTATTCCCTCAGATATAAATTCGGCTAATACGAAAAAAATGGTGAGACGAATTAAACGTCTCAAATTAAGTACATCCATATGGCGCTCTTTACAGACGAATTAACCGTCGTATACGTTAAAATCGTGTAATATAAATGCGAGACTATTGAAAATGGACGCATTTTTGCAGAAAAGGCGGGGGCCATTCGACTGTGTGGGTCTAAACATCTTTCGAAAAACGGAGCAAATTAATTTTTTTGGGGCATGTTTATGTCCATCTAGTATTTATACTAGTCGCACTTATGTATGTAGCCACAAGACGTTAAATTCGTTCAGACGTCTAAGCCGTCCTCTTATATAAATACGGCCATTTTCATTGCAACCTGGATTGAAATAATATAAGATTAAGGAAACGTTTCTTGATTTTCATCGGTAAAGATTAGAGTGCAGTAAATGTGAAAAAATCCGCACAGAAATGTGTAAAAACGGTGTAGCAAGAGCATAAAGTTATATCAAATTTTGAGTGATGTGATTTTTGTCGAGAGACGAGAATTCCCGCGAAAAGAAAACAAACATGGCTGGCGTGGGGGGCGCATTGAACTGACAGGGCGTGCACAAGTTTTGTTGAGAGAAAATCGACTTCGGTTAGATTTTAATACATAACATCTTGAGAAAAACAAACGATGGAATTTTTTTCTTTTTTAAACATCAGTGTCCATTGGAAAAGATCGTAAATGGGTGCACAAATTGTAAGTACAATTGAACTACATACATGGACATGGTATCTGTTCTGTTGTATTGAAAATAAGTAAATTTACTTATAGCATAGTTCTTTGTGCAATTAACATATTTTAAAACCGTGAGTCCGAATGTAGCCTAAAAAATCACCCGCAATTTTCCACATGATCAAATAATATTGCTATTACCTAAACAAACGATGAAAACTCGAGATAATATTAATAGAAAAGCATACTCAAATCAACGAGGTAAGTTGAAATAAACTCTTGGTATGTGTCGATTTTAAGAGTTTTCTCATTGCTTGAATGATGAAACGTACACCATTTTAACCACTGGAGGTTATTAAAAATTATACCTTCAAGGTTAATGTTTGAAGCAATGTTTGAGCTTCAAAATAGTGATGAGAAACGTTATTAGGAGTTCTTATACAACAAGCTTTTATGGTGACATCAAAGTCAATAAAATCACTGTGATTGATCAGAAACACAAAGTAAACCAGGTACGTACCATACCATCCACATGCATCCACAGGTGCTGGCAACATGATAAGCACCAGAGAAACTAATTGTTAATTTAGGTTTTTCTTATTCCTCTCACTTGCTCTTGAATTGAAGTGATACTAATTTTCACTTTTTCACAAAACAAAAGCAGGCAAACATAAATCCAAACAATAATAACATAAAATTAAATAAAATCCATATATAAAGATACATACTTGACAATCTCAATTCGATTATTAATGGCAGCCCAATGAAGTAATGTGACATTCTCAGCATCAGGAGTTCTAACATCAGCACCATTCTCTATAAAATCTTTTAGTTTCTCCATTTCACCATATTGCACTGACTGGACTATACTCATTGAAGCTGGGTCTGGCTTTGACGAGGCGGGGGGTGCAGGGGGTTTGGGTTTATTCACAGGTCCAGGAGAAGGAAAGTTTGCATCATCTTCAACCTCTCCACCATGCATACCACAGTGTTCACCTGGAGCATGGCTATGACCATGGGCTCCATGGCCTCCATGTCCACTCATGTGGCCGTGGCCCTGGCCCCCCATTGTAGGATACGGGGCGATATTTGAGCTAGCACCATACATCTGGAAATACAACCAATGAAAATTAATGGTTTCAAATATCATGCATGGATGGTACCATTTTATTGGTTAGACTAAGTTTGTATGTACGGTATGGTATAAAAATTGGTATAAAATTATACATGAAAGCCTAGACTGATAGAAGTTTTTTCCCTAGATGCAACATTTTGAATTAAAAATCTCAAAAATATTATCAATAAAGTTTCTGCAAAACTATATTAAGAGCATTTACAAAAAATGATACCATTTCATAAACTAGTTGTGTATGAGCATTTACTTTTATTTAGTTTGTTCTGCAAGTCCTACAATTTAATTACAGCAAAAAATACAATATTCTGTCCTTATCACTGTTCTATATTGCTATCTACCTTTCTTTTTCATCAATAATTTTAATTTGAATTAATAAATAATTTCTTACATGACGCATGCAATGGTGCGGTGGACAACAGAATAGTAGTTTACTTAAAAATAGACTTAAAACTCTGAGATTTCCATGCAAAATTGGTGACAAAGATTCAGCTGGGACAACTGTGGCTGAAAAGCATGTCAAAAATGAAAGGCACCCATTTCGGGTTGTGAGAAATTAAAAAGCAACTAAGGATCAAGCCATAAACAAAATACACCCTAAATCAATTATTAACAATTTACATCTTACATCAGGAATGCCTTCATGTACTCTAGAAACCAGTAATGTACCTAATTTAGCAAAAGACAGAAAGTCATTATGTACTAGCTTAAGCCTTAAGGTGATGTTACACAAAACAACTTTCAACATCAACTTGCAATGCAACAATGTTTTGAAACACATTGTATTTCATTTTAATGAAAAACAGAACATGATATATTGAGGCAGAGCCGTAGCTAGACTGCTTAATTGGGGGGGTGTATATTCATATATTCATGTTTATATATCATAGGTATAAGCATACAAAAGAAATCATTCGGGCATATGACGAATATATGAATATGCACCCCCCCAATTAAGCTTCTAGCTACGGCCCTGTATTGAGGTTTTTAGTGTAAACATAGAGAGAAAACTCATTTCATCTTACTACACTAAATGGAAAAATATGATTAATCACAGCTAGCATTTCATGCTCTTTCATTTTAGAAGAAATGCTCACACCTTCTTTATTGAAATTAACTGTACATAATAATAAATTTTACCCAGCTGTGAAGTAAACACCAGTAAATCACCACACACAACTACATAAAGCCCATCACATTACTAATCTACACCATCTTATTCAAACATAAAGCCCCCATAAAAAACATCTCAAATATAAGCCTACTATCTACTGTATGCTGGGTAGTGACTTATTAATGAAAGCTGAATAGCTAATTAGGTATGCATATATTAAATAACATATAAATGTTATATACATGTATCTACCTCCTGTGTTAGGGAGCATTTCGGGCGAATTTCGGAAAATGCAGGTTTCTATACCAGCAAAATATCACCGCCTACCATATTTACCTGGTAAAGGGCCTGCGAAAGAGGTGGTACATGTAGACTTATTCTTGCAACAGTCACTGGAAGTAACTCATCAGTCTGGACAATGATTTTGCAGTAAAATTTCATTATTAAGACCTCACTCATGTTAATTAGCTAACTCCAAGCTACATTTCTGGCTTCATGATTTTATTTTCTTCCAGTTATGTTTTGTTTTTTCAAACTGCTGTCTTGTATTAGTGAACATAAAGCAGGTGAAGTTTTGACAACACGTATGTTGACTGGAAGTAAAGTTTTTGTTTTTCACGCCTTAATTACCCAATCTTTTGACATTACTCGTGCAGTTTGTGTTGTCAGAAACATGCTTAAGCTCACTAATAATGAATTTGTACCTTATGGACTTTCTTCAAGTGGGTGTGAAGAGCAAAAATAATTAATATCCTGCTAGAGATTGTTGGCGATAAATCTCTTGAAAAAACTAGCTGTTTTTAATATATGTCTTTGTTAAAGTTATATGTTGGGTTCTCATATTTATTCTAAAATATAATTACATAACCGAAGAGAAGTTGTGCAGATCGAATTGAAGGAATAATTTAGTACAAGATGATCTTACAAAAGGACAGTTCCTAAGATTTTCCTAAACTTCATGTCCCTAGGGGGATTAAATTGAATGGAATGTATTCAACTAGCTAGATCAATTTCTCTAAATACTTGTTAAAATATAAATACTTAAAACACTTATTATATTTGTTATAAACTTTTTGTATAATTTACTTTCCATGTAACGTATACATAATACACTATAAATTGATCATCTATCGTATTTACTCGCTCAAGATATGCGAGAAAGATACTGCTTCAGAGCAACCATGTTATTTATCCTGATCTAGATTGGATGCAGTGGGCAAAAGTAAACATTTCGTGAGATCTGTAAAAACATAATCTCGGCTAACGGTACATTCAAAATAAAAGAGTAAAACAGACACTAGAAATGCACAAGCTAATGATAAACGAAATGTCAACAATATCCGATGCACACATAGTATCCTAATCTTTGGCACATTTACTTCAAACTATCAACAGACACGAATTTAGGCAATTGCATGGTGCATTTTGTAATTTAATGCCGCAAAAAAACTATTCAAAGCATATTATATCATAACAACAAAAAAAACTAACCTCTAAAGGCCTGTACATGGACTATTTTCTTCGATGAGTAAAATGCCACATTTCCAATTTGGAGGAGATTATTTGAAATATCGAAAGTCGATTATTTTCAATCGCATACGTCAAACGTTCACACGACGTGCCGTAATTTTACGTTCATTTCCGATCCGACACAGCAGCAGGGATACGTCGTGTAAGAGCCAGTAAGGCATTTGGCATTTCAGTTGCTCAAGTTTCTAAGATGATGTGCATAGTCACAGGCTAAATTTTCCCAGGTATCCTAGGTAAAAAAAACCCTGAGATTTGCTGGATGACAATCTAGGAGGAGTTGTTTAGCAATGCATTGGCCAAAAATTATTTTAAAAAAAAATGAATGTGGTAAATAATAAAATCAGGCATCACAAATTTCTCTCTTGTGAACAGTCAGCGATCACGATCATGATCTATATATTGCCGCAAACATGGTCTTGATCACTGATTGATAATTAAAAAGCATGCCCTATAATATAGCTTTCATATTAGCCATTTTCCAATCGAGCAGGGTACTAGGTCTAGTCGAGTCGCGAACCGCAAAGCATAATATATGGACCGGATTGGAGGGACAAATGTTTCAGACTTATATTTCTGTCCCTCCAAACAGTCCATAGATGCTTTCCGGTTCGCGACTCGCCAAGTACCCTGCTCGATTGGGAAATAGCTAATTGGCTGATTCTCAAACTTGACAACATGTGTTTCACATAATTTATGCAGGAAAGTCTGATTTATAATAATTTTTATAAGATATGATTTATAATATAAAGTATGATTTATATTAATTTTTATAAGGTATGATTTATAATATAAAGTATGATTTATAATATAGGGTATGATTTATACAACCGATAAATTAACCTAAATCATGATTAGGCACGTTTACACTTGCAATTTCTCAGTGCTGCGATTTTCCTTTTTTTTGGCACATGGAATAAGTGCATGTCCTTATTTGTACATCCGTAACTTATCACTCATTCGCGCGCGTCGATCAAAAGGAGAAAGTCGCACAGAACATCATCATACCTCGTTTCGTTTCATTCCATTCAGTCATGATTCATACATGCATTGGACTTGGTTATTATAATATATTGTGATTTTATTGTCGGCTTCTATTTTTTCTTATTACAAATGCATTATTGATGATTCAGTTTATTAAAATTGAGTATTTCTATATATTTCTGACAGGTGAATTGAAAGAAAAATGTACTAACTCCATTTTTTTATTTGTTATACTTATGTAATAAAGCGGACAGATATGACAGCAGTTATATATAATTATATGTTATATAAATATGCAGTATATATATTAATATCCCGCGACATTAAGTTTTATAGTGACTGACATTTCCTCATGAATGCGGTCTGAACACCTCAATTTAAAACCTCAGGTAAAACATGCGAGACATTGCTTGAATTATTAGAAAGGATGCAGTCAAGTATTAATTTGAGGTAAGGGGTTACCATTTACAATAATTATATAGTTACTGGGAAATGTTAGATTCAGTTTTTTTCAGTATATAGCGTCTGTTCACACTTCAGACCCCTATCATTCCGGTTTTTTGCCGGCTAGAATGCCAGAATGGTAATTTGCTTCCCGGAATAGTGATTTGCGTGACCACAAAGAGTTGTGGAAGGCTTAATACGACTTGTCTCCCCATGCATGCAATAATTTTGCCGGGCCATCGCAAAGGCGTGTTAAACGGTGCGTTGACTCCTGTTGACCTGCCTCGCAGTGCCCAGTTTTAATTTTAGAAATTTAAGACATTGAGTCCGTTTGCTAAAATTATGACAAAATTTCAAAATTGTGTCTATAAGCTTTATTTTCGTACCAAACATGGGCTGAGAACTTGCCGTAGCTTATTGGTATAAAAATTTGATTTCTTTTTCTTCTTCTGGTGAAAATTTCGTTAAACATAGACGTCAGTTTACCTCTATGATTATTACAAAATTTCTCGTTATTTAGGCTATCCGGCACGAAAATGTAACCGATTGGAAAAAATCAACCTCGTTCAAAATTTGTATGCATGCAGTGATATTATCGATTCATGCATGTTGAATGCTGCATGAACGCGCGCAGCACGGTATATTTCCCCGGTGAAATACAACTGCATGGGGCATTATTTGTAATAAAAATTGCAGAAAAATGCATTATAAAATATAACCGGTTCCACGTATGAATGAACAAAAAAATCAATGAGCAAGCCTTTTTTTAAATACTTTGAACTCGGCATATGCTTTCCATTGACTTCCGATGGTTAATGAATTATCAACTCTAAGGATCCACACACACCGGACGAGAAGGGGCAACGCGATGCGAATTTTGAGTTTTCAGAAGCATATATATATATATATAATTATATATATATATATATACATTTGTACGTTTTTGCTCTCAATTGAGCCATGTGTTCACTTGTGGATATTTATGTAAGGTGTATTTGTTCTTCTGCACATATATGTATATATATATATATATATATATATATATATATATATATATATATATATATATATATATATTTTATATATATAAATTAAATTTTTGAAACAATTTTTTAAACATATATATGGACACCAGAGCAATCAAAATGTATTATGTAGTATTTAAAACACGAGTAGGAGTGTCTTACGCGGTATAAAACGCGAGGCGCAGCCGAGCGGTTTATAGCGCATAAAACACGAGCTACGAGTGTTTTGAATAGCTTAAAATACGACATTAATATTCAATAGACGTTGCGACCAATCGGATTGAACATGAACTTTATATAAAGCCACATGTGTCTTTATATAAAACAGTGTCCTGATAGTGCTTTATTGAGTATAAAAGCCTACTCACGTGTTTAAAAAGGTTCATTGGATTGGTCAAAACGTCTATTGAATATTAATGAGTATTTTAACGTTAAGTAATCTACAAGAATATTATGATTGGATAAAATTTATTTGCTTTCGAGAAAATAAAAAGAAATTGAAAATTCGTGCCGCGCTGCCAAATCGCGTCCTGCATGTCTGTTTGGGCCTTTATATTATAAAAGCAAGTTGTTCAATCCAAGTTTAATCAATGTAAATTGCTTTCATTTGATATAGCTTTTTCGCAACCCTTTTGTTGGCAATATTCCTTCTCGATACAATCATCTTGAGTGGACAATCTCAGTTTAATCTGAATACGGAAAAAAATAGAGAATTTGACGTAACATATCTGGTTGGAACGTTTCATGTAAATAGTGGAGACTTTGCAAAATGTTTAGGGCACTGTTTGGAAAACTGCAAGTGCCAGTCCTTTCAAATTTGCCAAAACACAAAATGCCAACTTTGTTCTAGTCATAAAGAAGACAACAGTTCGTTGCTTCATGAGAATGGTGACTGCGTCTACGTCACCTACAATTTAAAAGAAGTGCATTTGTCAGGAAAATTGCAGGTAAATACAAAATATCAAGATAATTATAAACAGAATCTGCGCGATAGATAGTAGAAAAAAAATGTTTTGCCTTTACATCGTGGGATAACTGCGCTGACGCGACCCGAGTATTAACACAAGGTGAGAAAGCACATCCATTTATTTATGTTGAATATACAAAACGATTTTCAGAGTTCAGGATCAAAAATCCTCAAAAATTCCTTAAAGTTTAGGCTTCTCAAAAGCGTAAGGTTTATTTTTTCTCGTCGTTTCCGTCCGGTGTTCTTCTTCGTTATTTTAGTCTTGTTGAGTTTCTCAACTTTTCGCATGATTTTTACACCGTTGGTCCACCGAAGGTTCGGTTGTTGTGCACGCCCTTTTATAGTGAAGTTTGAGGCCTGGGGCATATTGTATGAAAGAATATACAGTTAACTATTGTAGTTTCCGACTTTCCGTGACCGACTCAGTAGCACCTGCGTGTCCGCGTGCGTGATACAAAAGATGTACGGCATGCAATTTACAAATTTTGCAAGGTTATACTCTTTGCATTTTGCAACTGTTCGCGAGACTATATACGATATTCCCATTCCAATGTTAATACAAAATTATATTTCTCTTCGTTCTCCAAATCAACTTACCTACCTGACACAATCTCTATTTTTACCGCGTGCCGGCTGTTCACGTCAATGACGTCATAGGGATTTAGAATATTAATTATTAATTTTAATGTCAAGTTTTTTATACATGCATACTGCTCTCAACAGCAACTAAAACCTGTTTCTGGCCTGAACTTTTCGTGTGCTAAATCCTAGACAAACGGACTTTAACTCTTTAACATTGGGTTCGGCCTATGAAAGTTTGACATCCAAAGCAGGTCCAATTAAACCTTGCATCTATGTATAATTGTCTTTTGTCTATTGATTCGTATAGAAAATAGAGAAGCAATGTTCAAGTTTGAGTTGTTTCATGAAGTATAATTGTTGCCAAGAACAGGATATCTGTCCTGAGAACCAATCTTGTGAACCAATCAAATCACTTGATCAGCCATGGAAACGTTTTACCTGCGAATGTCCTGATGGTCACTATGGCAATAACTGTGAATTGATGGCGTCATGTAAGAGTTATTCTAATCGTTCCTTGAAGTCTGGCATCTATAAATTACTAGGCTCCGACATGTCAGCTTACAGGGTATTCTGCCATTTTGATTCGAATACTAGTTTGACATTAGTGCAGTCGTACAGTTTTGAAAACTATTCCGGTCGTGGAAAATTTATGGAATTTAGTGAGCCATTAAGTAAAGACTGTCCAGTTAATGAACATGTGCCTATTTGGTCAGGGTATCGGCTGAGCAAAGCAAGAATGCAGACAATTTATAACCAATCAGATTTCCTCGAGTTTACCTGTGACTACGAAAAGGAATTAGAAGATGAAGAAAAACGAGATTTCTGTCGCGTGCAACTCAAAGATATAACAGAACGATCGTCAGGTAAAACAATCCAGGTTTTCAAGATTGAATCCTCAGGGACAGGGGGTTTTACGTCATCTCATTTTTGCCAAATTAGCGGGAACCGTTTGAATGAGTCTTGTCCCATTTCCATTAGTCAGACAGAAAAGCGTCCATTACATGTGCGTTTATCTGCTGCTAAGTGTGAATTACCGGTACCTGAAAACTGTTTGCGATATTTTGGA